GTCATAAGTGTATCAGAATTTATGGCGCTCGGTGAGCAAAAGTTGTGACAGGTACCCCGTGATATAATAGAATTTTTCTTTCTCTCGGCTAGATCTACGACAGATTATTACAAGTTCTCCCGTATTAAACCACGGCCACTTTTATTTCGTGCGCTATTCATCGCGGGACCCGATGGACATACGGCCGCTAAATAGAGGTGTTGCTTTATGGGAACCCGTTGAAGTCTATAATTCAGCCGTGTCGCCGATTAAAAAGTTTCACGGCTGCTTCCACACGGCAACGATCCGGGCAACTATCTATCGACAATGTTATGCAAATCGGCCGGTCTCGGGAGGCAGCCACCTTCGCGCAACTCGGACAATGGTTTTCTACCCCGTGGCAAATTCTCCCGTTGCGTATTGATACGGGAGAAACAGAGTGTGACAGGAAGAAATAGCGGGCAAGGGGGTCACACGTGAAATAGTTAAAGGGGACAAGTAAACAAGAACGACCGCGAGAAAAATATAGAAACGACGGATAGGTGATAAACTGTGCGAAAAAGACCGGCCCCGGAAACACGGTGCGCGCTTTCTACTAAATACATGCTCTTTTACTCCGAGACAGAGCAGCCCGTTGATCGAGCATAATAACTGGATCGCGGATCTTTCTACGAATTAAGAATTGCCCGCATTGATTGCAAACTGCGCGGAGTGCGCGAATATTTATTCAGTTTCTTAGTCGTCTCGAGATGAGTCGCAAGTAATGTAATTACGAACGAGAATCGTACGTTTTTATGCTAATTCTAAATCCAAAGTCCGATAGTAATTGAAGAACTATTAGTCCACGTGAAACGTAATTAATGAGCCACTTTTTAGTCGTAAATATGGACAGACATTTCTAATATACTATTAATAATATTCTAATTGTAATAATATTCCAATTGTAATAATATTCCAATTGTAATAATATTCTAATTGTAATAATATTTTAATTGTAATAATATTCTAATTATAATAATATTCTAATTATAATAATATTCTAATTGTAATAATATTCTAATATTTCTATTTCTAATACACAAACATTTCTAATTCGTAGATATGGAACTGTTAGCGTCGCTTCTGTTATTCTTCGGGGCCTAAAAAGTGCACCGTCCGCGTCCGCGAGGCGATAACCGTCGATCGGCATCGAAACGGAAAGAAATAAACGCGATCAACGAGCCCGCTACCTTTTTTGCCCTTTTCGAATCTTGGATTTCACCCGTCGTCCGAGTCCTCGCACGAAATAATGAAAGATCTCGCTGCTCTCACGGAGAGAGACTCCGGGCTTCGAATCTTTCGGAAATATCGCAACATTAATGATCGCGGCGAAACCGAGCGCGGCAGGTAGGCGAGCCCTAAGTTAACGCATTCGTCAGAGCAATAGTAGGTGAAATCGAGCGATCTCTATTATTTACCGGAGTGAAAACCGAGACGGGGCCCGGGCCCGGTTGTAAATCGCGGTCTATTATACGCGGCAGGGCTCGCGATCGGTCATCGGTAGACTGCGGATTTCATGCATTTGCGGTAAAATTAAGTAGTTGCCGTTTCAAATATCAAAAACCGTTATATATATATAACGGTTTTTGATATTTGAAATATGATATATATATATATATTATATTAATATATTAATAACATAATATAATAATAAATATTAATGTATTGTTGCGGATCATCCCATTTCTCTCGCGTCGCGGCATTTTATTCACAATAAAGAATATAAACTATAACACAACTCGATACAATTATATTTCAGTTTGAAATGTTGCTCGTGCGACGGTCCGATCTCGACTTTTCGATTGTCCATTGATAACACTCATCCGTGGAGTTGCTCGCAACAGGGCAGTTTCACATTACAGCGACTCGATTTGGACAAGTCGCCGTAACAATATGAATATTTAACCCGTTGAGATTATCAAAAAAAGAAAGGACTCTCTTCGCAATTTCTTATCGTCGCTGACAATCTCTGTGCAGCATAAAAATCCGCGGTCATCGGTTATCGGCGCTCGGGAGTCGCGGACGGGCTCGCGGCCATCGGAGATGATCTCGATGATATCGCGAGCGGCGTCTCCTTCTGCCTCGATTCTCACGGTCCGCGAAATAAATTGCGGCCGAACAGGAACAATGAAACGAGCCGGTGTCCTAATGAAAACCGTCACGTAACCCCCGTGACGCGTTCCGCGACTCGGCTCGACGCGGCGCGGCCCGGCTCGGCTCGACTCGGCTCGGCGCGACGATAATAGCCCGGCGAGGGCTGGTAGCGCGATTAACAAAAGCGATCTATGAAATGGACCATTGTACTGTCTCGCGAAGTGAATGACACCGCGCGCGGCCGGTGCACGCTCCGACGAGAAAATTGAATTCTCCGCGCGCGAGCGCGCGAGATTCGCGTCGCGTAGATTGAAATAATGCGGGCAATAGATAAGACGATTGTCCGACGCCGCTTTATAGACGCCGACGTCCCACCGTCACGTGAGAGGGCCCGGCGATTGCTCGAAATTTCTGATTCGACGACCGCGATGGGCGCAACAACTCGGACCTCGATTTTATTCCGTGCTGCGGCAGCGGCGCGGGTTTCTAAACGCGACTCTGATCCAGACAACCGCTAATTAAACAAATGAGATGCGAAGCGAATTACGAGCGAAATCAAAATGGCGTCCCCGGGATGCCCGTTAATGTCTAATAGAACTGCCGCATGAATCTTAATGCGAACTAGGTACGATGAATGATGTTACTTTTTCATAAGAGTGGATTAGAATCGTGGCGATGAACAAGGAGTGTTATCGTTCGTTAACGTATGCGTACTGCCGGCTGACTAAATTTATTGTTAAGATAATAATATAGTAACGGTATAGTAATTTTATAATTTATTTCACTTCTATTTTTACCATTTTGGCATGTATAAATTAGCCCTAAACGCGACCGATGCATATTGTTTTATAACACCGACGAGATTGAACTTATCTAAACTTCCTACGATTTTTATTACAATATATCCTCGAACGAAGAGATTCGTACGAAAATTTCGGACAAAAACATTTTTACGGTATCAGAGATTGTAAGGGAAAAAATCAGAACGCGGTCAATTTTGACTGTTTTCAACCCACTCGTGTAATACCGGAAATGTTCGTTCGCCGAGGGGATGCTCCTTTTCGGAGGGATCGCTCTGCATTTCGCGGTAGAAGAACAGCTTCGAAAATGTAGAAAATGGCAGGGAAACGAATACGACGAAGGCAAAAGAGGCTCGAGTTTATTTATGCTCGGCGCAAGGGCAGAAACGTTGAAAATCTGGTCGCCGACCAGGATATTATCGTCGCGCATAGCTTAAGGGGTGGAACCGAGGCTCGCAGTAAGGAGTCCGAGATAATCGCAGCGAGCAGTCCGCATTCCGAGAATTCGATACTCCGCGGGGAAGAAGTTGTTCGCCGGTTTCTCGGGCCCGTTCTCGCGATCGTTCAATTTGTACCCGCCCGCGAACCGCAACGATCGCTTTTCGAACCGGACCTGTTGTTCCGAGCCTAGGAAACGCGGGCCACGTGATCCCGTGATTCCTCGAACGCAGCCGGACGCGTTCAAGCTCGCTCGTTACCGATGCGATACCGATCGCCGAGTAAATTAACTCGGTATTAACGGCGACGGGACGGAAAAACAGCGCGCGCACCCCCTCGTTGCAAACCCGTGTTCGATCCTGCGACAGGATCGGCTAACAAGGGAAGCCGGGGAACCGGAAATTCGGAAGATCACGTGACGCTTTCTTCGAGAGACTTAACTCGGTCCGGCGATGACGAGTCGCTGACTTAAACCTGATCTTTCTTGGTGTTGCAATACGATTATTATAAATGAAATCTTTCGATAAAAATGACAGAGTTTTCTTTCCGCTCGAATTTACTCGTACGCGTCGATAATTAAACAGTAAATTTGTAAACGCAGATTTTAACGATTTCATAGAAATTAGACAATTTCGTTGAACAAGGAGAAAACGGAAGATCGGAATATTCCTGATGCTTGGTACTAAATCGAAATTGTTCCAGCAACAAATTTTTCGAAATTCAATTACTTTGTCATGGAAACGCGCGACAGCTATTCCCGTGTCCGCACAGAGTTAGGAAATGTAATAGAAGCTGCAGCTTTAATGAGGAAATAATCGATCGCTTGGAGCAATTTTTTTCCAATTAGCCACAGAAAATTACGTCCATTAAATGGCTCGACCGAAAGGAACGTCGCCGATCGGTGTTTTGTCGGGAGGGATGCTACACGCTCTATATCGTTAAAACGTGATCCGGCATTAACGCGAGAAAAAGTGGCGCTTCGTTCGGCTTAGGCCGGAGGAGCACAAAGTAACGCCGGTAATAAAGCAATCAGCCGATCTAGAACAACGCAAAAAGCTGCACCGGCGCGGCGAGAGCCTCGCGCACTGTCCGACGATCGAGGGAATATTATGGATCGCTATCTATCTCAAACTAAGAACGATCGAAAAGATAATTCACCGTCCGATTTTACACCGATATTACCGTTTCCTTTTATTCCCTGTTGCCGGCTGTTCAGGTAACAGTTTGTTACTGATTTATCGCCGGTAATTGTCTCTATTACAATCGTTTCTTTTACTCCAACCCCGATTACGCGTAATTACCGCTTTTATCGCTTTTCTGAAATTGCGATCGTATCGAAACGGTAATTAGAAATTCCTTCGAAAGCTTAACCACGACGGATATGGAAAAAGTTAAACGAGATATCAGAACGAAACCGTGAAAGCCGAAAAGTTCTTGTCTCGCGGAAAGATCCGATAATTTCACCGTGTAAACAATGAATTTCGCGTTCTCCCGTTGATCGTTTAAAAATCTTAGATTCATTGGAACCCGTTCGTTTCCCTTCCGTTCTCCCTTATCGATTCAAGCTTTCCTTCGAGCTTCAGAATTCTTGCAGCCGCCTGATCGGGATAATTAGGATATCTATCGTGAAACATTCGTGAAACAACTTACCGCTGGTTGAGCTGTACTCGCCGATATACCGCCTGGTTAGATACCGCACGACCACGGCTGAAAGCAAAACGAGAAACAATGAAAAAGCTGTCCGAGGCGCGTTTTCTATTCGGAAAATATTGTATGCGCGAGATGAAACCGGTAGAGGCCTGGAACCGAAAGATTCGATCTCGTTCCTGAAAATTGCAAAGCGAAAAACTCCCGTCGGCGCGAGAGCTCGACGCGTTAAGTACGTACCGACTTATACTAAATACTTGTGATAATTTCGTTGGGGCGGAATGTGTCCGCGGCGCGATATCTTCGACGATATCAGATCGAAAGAACGAAAGTGGCGCTCGTTTGTTTCTTAATTTTAGCAGGAACAGGTTCACGCTGGGTGAAAAGCAATTAATCATCGATATAATTTCTCTGTTCGCACGTAACCTCCTCCATCGTTCCCCCCCGCCCCCGCCCCTCTCCCACGCGAGAGCTTTTCAATTCCAGAGGTAGAGAAATCCGGTTTCTGATTTTCAGATAATGGCTGAACGAAAGCCCTCGAATCCATCTATCAGATGGTTGCGTAAACTATCCGTTAATCTCCTGCCAAACAGAAAAATTCCGTCCTGTCGATCCGAGAAAAATCGATCCCCGGGCGCACCATTAATTAACCGGGCGGACTAATTGGTAAGCGTACACCTCGCAGCACCGATCCCTCCGCCGCCTCCGCGCGAACGACGCCCGTTCAATTTTGAATACGCTCGACGTTACCAGCTGCGAAAAGGGAGCAGCATAATTTATCGACTGAAATTAGAAATTCGTGTAATTAATTCAGAAGACATCGCGCTCGCCTAGGAATAAATTAGCGACTAAGTTTCGCGCGAACGTGAATTTATGCACGGTAGCTCGGATATTCGTGTAGCCAATGACATATCGCGGATAATTTACACGCTTTTCCTATTTCAGCCGGCTAATTGACGTTGATAAGTTTGTCAGGTGTCTCTCAGCTGCTGGAAAATAACCCGTTCCCGCTCGCATTACTCACGCATTCCGGTGTTCCGCTGCTATTTTTTCTTTTCTTTTTGTCAATCGAATTCAACGACGATCGACGCGCGATACCGGCACAACGTTTACGTCAAAGACTCAGGATCTGTGCAGACATTGGCATCTTATTGACTTTTCTGTCCCATTAGCCGGCGGGAGTCCCGAGATCGCGGATCTCGCGACGAAATGAAAATTCTTCGCATCGATTGCAAGAAATAAAAACGTTGAAGGTTGTCTCTGCGAGGGACATAATATTTTAAATTATGGTATTACATTGTTGTACGATGAGCTGCGTCGCGTCTGGCGAGAGAGTGCGACGACTGTCTACTGTCTGCGTTGCCTTTTTTTTTCTTGAGGCTCCTGCGGCCAAAAATTTTGTTCTTTAGTTAGTTGCCTGCGGACGAGCGAGGTGTGTAGTCGTGCCTACCGAACCATTACCCGTAATATCAGTTAGCTTTATGTGTGTTCCCTTTTCTGTGTTTTCAATAAAAATTAACTCTGTTACGATTATTTACGTTGCCTGTAAAAATTCAACAAAAAACTATATAGTAAGTTCACTCCTCGTTCTCTTCGTCCGACGTTTTATAATTTCAACTGAGAATATTTAAAACCATACTTTTGTGTTCCATGGATGCCTTGGAAAATATATCTTCCAGTGAATGAGATTAATTAAATGAGAAAGTAAAAAAGAGTAAATGAAAGTCATTTTTAATTGCAATTTTCGTACGTGTGTAATGCTACGAATATATACGTGCAATAATACGAAAATTCTAATATATATCAAAAATTAGGGTTGAATGTATCGTAGACTCCGATACAACGGGCCGAAAATATCGTGGCTGCAAAATTACATGCGCGCGAATGAACGAGTACGCGAATTTACCGTGAGATTGTAAAATGCCCAACGTGTTTTGGAGTTGTAGCAGGAGTCTATTGGAATTTGCGCGACCGATTATACGCTGTGTTTATTGACGGTGTCGTAAAAACAGCTTTCTTTTACGGGCAAGCAAACCAACGTTTTTGCGATATGGGTGTCGGTAGGTTGAATTTCGAACGCTGGGTGCCAGTTAGCTGCCGAATACTCAGTAGTGAACACGTGTGAACAGTGAACGAGCACGCGTGAAACCGGCAGAATGTGGGTACCACATTTACAGACTGCGTTGATCGATCGCAGACTGTAACTGTGCTCCGATCATCTTCCTGGTCCGAGCTTCGGTCGTCTTCCTGGACCGAGTTTCGGTTCAAAGTTTCCGAATTTATATTCCAACCAGAATTTTCTACTTTCGAATGTTCCGACCCGAGTATAGAAGACGAGGCTTGTGGACAGCGATCGCCCGTTTCTTTCATCTTCCTTGATCTTATAAGTGACTCTATTAATAAATACGGATTTTTATGTATTGTTTATTAATACCGTCGCTAAAACGATTAAGGGACAGTTCGTACGATAGAAATGCGGCGGAGATGCGATAGAAATTTGTCAAAGGTTGCGAGTGTTGAAGAGTAAGGCTCAATATCAATTTCAAGAGAACTAGTATGATCTAGAATAGGTGAACGAATAATATAGCATATACCACTAACAAAAAACTTTGTCCCTACCTAATCGAGACCATTAATCTTTAAAGGGCAAATTTTCTGTTTCAGCGGCCGGTGGATAATCTAGAAAATATTATGTTCGTGTTCGAATCACCAAAGAGACGACGAAGAAGGTATAATCATTTTCCACGTTAAACGTTATTTATTATTAATTATATTACTAATTATATGTTAAATATGTAACAATAAACTTTATCTCAACCGTGAAATATGTTCTTTGTCCTCGCAACGATCGATTGATATTGAGCGATGTCCTAGAAAGTGTTTCATTTGCTTAGCCTTATTATCACAAGGCTGAAGTCAGCGACAATTTGCTCACAATAGAGTTTGTTTAAATTTCGGTTGTACAACGAATTGTACCCTGATCTATCGAATCTAATTTAAAGATGTAAACGAATTATAAGAAGCGTACATTGCAAATTGTAAAACTATATATACATTGATTGACATTACAATGACCGCCGTTGTATTCGTACAAAATATTTATTTAATTTCGCTGTTCCGCGGAAACAGCGAACGCGGATAACGCAGAAGAAACGGTAGCCGTCGATGTGCAACAACCTCGGAAATTAACATTCGACTACGCGAACAACCAGACCGCTTTCCAATCGCGTCAGCACTTTTCATCGACGCGGTTTTTTCCCTGCTCCTAATTACAACATACTCCGTTGTAACTTCTCATTTGGCAATTACCACTTCATTGTAACTTCTTATTTGGCAATTACCGCTTTATCCGAGCTTCTTATTTGGCGATCACCGCTTCATTGTAACTATTTATTTCGCAATTACAGCCGCAATTTTTCGTCTCGTAATCACTACCTTGCTACCGTAACTTCTTACGTCCCGCTGGTTTTATTGTAACTTTCTGCTGCGCGCACGGTTTCCTTTCGACTCGCGATTCGGATCGCAGCGTGTACAATGTTAAAGGAAGTCGCGGCGACGATCCGACGATAAATAAGGGAATCCCGTCGTCGACTCGATTGCAACGCGAGCGTAATTTCGCCGGCACGGAAATTCGATAAATTTCCTCGGAGGCGAGGGCGGGGTTCAATCGAAGATATACGGGATCGATATCCGCGGTCCGGGTGCTCGATTGAATTTTCGTCGATCCGCAGCCGAAGTGGGCGTGCAACCTAACGCCGGACCGCAGGGGAAGCAATCGTGGAACTAACGGCGGCGTACGTCATTAGCCGCGATAAAAGTATTCTGTTGCCGACACCACACCTCCTGTCGACAGCTCGCCAAAGACGAAGCTGCGAGGAGCACGCTAGCCGATCCGCGAACCGCCGCCGCGCCATTCCGTTTGCACCTAACCCTGCAATTTCGTCTGCGCCGGGAATCCCCCGACATCCTATCGATCCATAATTACACGCTATAACGACCTAGCGCCTCGAAAAATTGCCTACAAGCCGATTCCCCTGCTGCCCCGAGGGCCGAGACTCGATAATTCCATCTTCGTTTCGACGATATGCTAGATCGCCGCGGCATCTTCCACCCCGTTCTTAGAACATTCTACTTCGAAACGCGTCCAAAACTTTCTAAAACATTTGCATCGGCATTGTTCGGCTACCGTGGCCTGTGTTCGGCTGTTTGCCTCGCGGAGTTCCGAAATTGCTGTCCGAAGAACAACAAGGTCCACCGAAATTGAGAAAATCTCACCGGAACCTCGATTATCCGATAAATTGATCCGAACACGACGATGAAACGAAAGGCACTGGCACTGCTCTAGACAATGAAATCGACGAGCTGTCGACGAGCAGGCTGAGAAACGATGTCGGGCCATTGCCGGCCGGAAAAATGGAGGCGAGTCGAGGTATCGGGTAACGGCGCGGAAGAGGGCGAAACAGCGAGGCGCGGTTTCGCATGAAATAAGTAATAACAATAATTAATGGCCACGATATACAGGAAATGTCGTCGGGAGGAATGTCCGACGCGGCGAGCTGCACTTGGCGCTCGGAGGACGGTCGCTTCATAAATTTCTTCGTTAGTCCGCGGTTCGTACGCGAGGACTTAACATGTCGCGGACGTATAGTATCCTCTCCGGTTCGACCCTTCAAGACTTATCGAGTACATAGAGAGAGAGAGAGAGAGAGAGAGAGAGAGAGAGAGAGAGAGAGCCCGTACTCGTCCTCTCGTACACACATTCGCGAGCACTGTTTATAAATCTGTCGGCGCGGTGCATCGCGACGCGACGCGGCGCGGCGGTTAGGCGACTTCGGGCCCCGGAACCTCTCCGGCCCGCTCTCCGAACGGTTGGCAGAACTTGATCCGCGAAGTGCTGCAACTGGTTCGCTCACTTCGCCGGCGAAGTGAACTGGTTGCCGGAAATTGATGAGACTCGTCGGAAGAAGTCAGACGGGAAGCGGTCGCCGGCTTATGGCCGCGACCACGCGAGCCGGAGCCACTCTTAACCCTAAATCGCCGAGGCGGATGATCTTGGACGC